AAGTGAGGCCTGAGACACATGAGAACAAGAACAAAGTCCCTTTAAATGTTTATGAATGAATACACAGCTGGATAAAGGTTTGACGAGGCACTCTAAAGGTTACCAAACCAAACCAGTCATGGAAAATGCCATTATAATTTTCAGGTTTTAGTATTTTACCTATAATTAAGGTTTTCTTGTGGAAGGTTGTAACTGACCCAGCTGTCTTTCTCATAGAGTTGGTATGCTCTCTGGGGTCTACATTGACTGCCAGCTGGAGTCGTAATCTGACACACAGCAGAAAAATGACTGCTGTTACTATGTCATTATCCAAGCAATAAAAGAGCAGCAATAGGGGAGCTGAAAAAAATAATAGTTTGATGTGCTTACAAGGTTGTGTGTCTGGGGCCTTTTCATTGTGGAGTGCGGTGGGGGAGGCTGACTGCACTGATCAAAGATAATATCTCCAGTTTGCGATAATGAGCTTAGATCAGCAGGTAAAATACTCGGCCTGTGTGAAATGAGGAGATTTTGTTTCATCAAAATTGAATCATGTTATTGTAATAAACAGATATATATATTGTGAGATATATTATGAAGCAACTGAAAGAATGCATAACAAACCTGCTTGTATAAAGATTAGCAATGCAGCCTTTGAATTTTCCTCTTTGCATGCTGATTTGGTCTGAATGTGCCGGACTCACATTTACATTGTCAATGCTAAGCAGCAGCCTGAGAAAATCACGACAACATTAGCGGCGTGCTGATTTTAAATTTTAATTGCAATAAAATCCAGGTATCAGCAAAAAGCTGACAGATCTTACCCTGATGGCTTCCCCACTGCAGACACGTAATGCCAGATTCCATCATTATACCTTTCATTTGACCTCAGGGTATAATTAAAACTATGAAAAACCACAAAGCCATCGTCCAGGGACAACTGGAGGTTGTGGACAGTTTCGGAGCCCTGCAGTGAGAGTACTACTAAAGCCATCTTGATCTTTTCCTTTTGATTTTCTTTTAAATCAAAAAGTGTGGCACACAAGATTTACCTGAGAGCCGCTCTTCAGAACAACGCCCCGCTTGCCTGTGGTCCTGAAGCCTAACGAGACTCTCACTGGCTGTTTGTCCCAGGCAAACAGAGAATCGACAGAAAGAGCCGAATTCAATGTAGCTGCACGAACACCCTGTACACAAGCCAGAAACACACCAGTATTAGACCCCTGTGTCTACAGGCTGTTCATTTAGTGCTTTAAAGCTAGACAGAGATTGACATGTGAAATAGGAAATGTCACATTTTTCCACCTACAAATGAAAAGTAAACTTTTTAAAGTAATAAAGCGCACTATTGTTGAAGTTGAATACACTGCTATAGCCTTAATGAGTAACAACTGGCAACTAATTTAAGCCTGTGACAGTTATATTATTTTAATATGAATGTAAGAAACAAACTGCTGCTACAGTCTTTTTTTCCCCTGTTATTTCCAGGTAGGTGTGATAGCTAATATTGGCCACATCATGCTACTGACTTTATGATTATTCTTCACAATAACGATTAGTTCATCACGGTTCATGGATTTGTTAAGTGAGGGGTGTCCCTGACTGGAAAACTGTGATAAGGGGTTTGTCAATCACAAGGTACCTTGCTGTGAAGCGCCTCAATTAAACATCTATTATACACTTAATGGGGCCATAATTTTCAAAAAGAACACGCTGCTATATTACATAAGACACAAAGTTAATAAGGCAACAATTTGATGGGGTACTGAGATCTAAAAGTGAGAAGTAAGTATATTTGTACGAGCAGGTACAAACACACTAATGAGGAGTTTTCCTCCTGCTGTGCATTAGAAACTATAGGCACATTTGAAGCACCGCTGCACAGGCATCAATTCTCATACTTAGATACTTAATTGGGCCATAATTTTAAAAAGGAACACTCTGCGTTATTATATAAGACACAAAGTTATCAAAACAACAAGTTCTTGAAGTGCTAAAATGAAGTGAGAAGTAGGTACAATTTCTTATAAACTTTTTTAAAGTCTGACTAAGGAGAATTACCCCCCTGCTGTGCATTAGAAACCAGGCAGGTGCCGTGCACTTCTGCACTGGCTTCACTACTCAGACTCGGTGGTTAAGTCCATCTTTTATTTTTTTTTAAAAATAGTTTCAAAAAGTCTATCCTCTGATCATCTGAGAGAAATTTTAATGCAGATTTGTGAACATATTTGCGGTAAATTACCAGTGAGGAGACTGGACAT